GCGGGTGGTGAGGGAGGTGTCGAGGACATAACCGAGGACGAGGGTGGTAAGGGAGGTGTCGCGGACATAAACGAGGACGAGGGTGGTGAGGGAGGTGTCGCGGACATAACCGAGGACGCGGGTGGTGAGGGAGGTGTCGCGGACATAACCGAGGACGCGGGTGGTGAGGGAGGTATCGCGGACATAACCGAGGACGAGGGTGGTGAGGGAGGTGTCGCGGACATAACCGAGGACGCGGGTGTTGAGGAAGGTGTCGCGGACATAAGCGAGGACGCGGGTGTTGAGGGAGGTGTCGCTGACATAACCGAGGACACGGGTGGTGAGGGAGGTGTCGCGGACATAACCGAGGACGCGGGTGTTGAGGGAGGTGTCGCGGACATAACCGAGGACGCGGGTGGTGAGGGAGGTGTCGCGGACATAACCAAGGACGAGGGTGGTGAGGGAGGTGTCGCGGACATAACCGAGGACGAGGGTGGTGAGGGAGGTGTCGCGGACATAACCGAGGACGCGGGTGGTGAGGGAGGTATTGCAGACATAACCAAGGACGAGGGTGGTGAGGGAGGTGTCGCGGACATAACCGAGGACGAGGGTGGTGAGGGAGGTGTCGCGGACATAACCGAGGACGAGGGTGGTGAGGGAGGTGTCGCGGACATAACCGAGGACGAGGGTGGTGAGGGAGATGTGGCGGACATAACTGAGGACGGGTGGTAGGGAGGTGTCGCGGACGCCTCTTTCTTTACTCTGCCGCCTAGGTCGCCTCTATGGATGCGCTGGCCTTGCTAACACTGTATCATGGCCAAAGAAGCTCACCTTTACCAAGTTTAAACTGAATCTGCGGCTAACGACAACAGTATTGTGCTGGTGGTCATCGCGAGAATCCTGCTCTGCCCCGCTTGTATGGGCCGGCTGTAAGTAAGACTTTTTTCCTTTCTTTTGTCCATTTTTTCTGTTTATTAAATTGACGTACATATAAAAACAATAGTGCAAAACAAATATTTCGTACTGCAATGCTTCATTTTTTTATGCAAACCATGGATTTATTTTTCATAAAGTACCAGTAGGACTTTTTATAGCAGATAACTCGCATTCAAGGCACAGGAATAATGAGAAATGTTATTCATTGTTAGTATTATTGTCATCTTCGTCATCATTAATATTTTATAATTATTAGACATTCATTTTGGAATTATTGAGCAAACATCAAGTCATTACAGCATTAGTTAAATAGTTGTTTCTAGTTTTTGTTAGTCCTGATTGCAGTGGTGCTCATTCATTTTTGGTGGGTGCTCCTAAATTTTTTCTGGTGCTCCTACATTTTTAAAAAATAGGGGGATTTCAAGCCCTGCATTGGACAAATACTGTTTTTTTATTTATTCTTATTTTTATTTATTTATTATTCTGTCATTTATTTGCAGTGTAAAATTATTTTTGTTTAAATGTCAAAAAAATTCATTTATTTTTAAGCACAAAGGGAAAAATGTACTATTATTTGTTTTTTTTCTAAATTATTTTGTGCTGTATTAATTAGTTTCAGAGCAACAATAAATAACACTGTAAAATATAAAGAGTTTTCATCTTATTCTAAACTAGTGGGGTTTGAAAATTAATGAATGCATAATAATCGTGATAACCGTGAAACCGTGATTATTTCTCAGATTATAAAAATACAACCAAAACCTATTATCGTTGCATCCCTGCTATGCACACATGTTTATACTTGAGTTAATATTAAGAATAATTCTGAATAAATGAGTGAATTAATTCATATATATGATGTGTTTGAGTCACCTGTGGTGTGTGAAGAGACCCGAGGCGTACTCCAAAACCAGAAACTCACGCAGATTAGACCCAAAACTACAAACACACAACAGCAAATCAATCCAAGCAAATATTATATTGAATAATATGCAAATGCTGTGCCTGAAATATTGATAACACGAACATTATTGGTCATAGTTCTTTTACAAGACTTAAATGAATCCATATGTCTGACATTTAAATACTTTCAATGTATGAGGGAACCCTGACTCATGTCATAAATTTAATTTCTGACATTATAAGCATGTTACAGATATGTTAAAGTATTAGTGTGTGTGTGTGTGTGATACTCACTGCAGGTTGTGTGACTGCAAAAGTTTGCAGTGATCCAGCAGGTCGGTCAGATGTGCCACAAACCACCAGTTGTTGAGCGCGATGCTGCGGAAAACATCCAACAAGTGTGTGTGTGTGTTAGTTTAGTTCAGTCTCTTCACCAATGTTCATTACAACAGCAGATATTTTACTCACATTTTAAATGTGCGGCTTTGTAATGTAATGTTTTTTATATAGCGCATTTATCGTGTATGGCCATACACCCAAAGTGCTTCACAATCATGAGAGGGGTCTCTCCACACCACCACCAGTGTGCACCGTCCACTTGGATGATGTGACGGCAGCAACAGGACAACGGCGCCAGTGTGCTCACCACACACCAGCTATAGGTGGAGTGGAGAGACAGTGATAGAGCCAATTCGGTGGAAGGGGATGATTGGGAGGCCATGATTGTAAGAGCTGATAGAGGGACTTTGGCCTGGACACCGGGGTTACACCCCTGCTCTTTCACGAGAAGTGCCATGGGATTTTTAATGACCACTGAGAGTCAGGACCTCGGTTTAATGTCTCATCAGAAAGACGGCACCCACTGACAGTGTAGTGTCCCCTTCACTTATCTGGGGCATTAGGACTCATGCAGACCACAGGTTGAGTGTCCCCTGCTGGCCTCACTAACACCACTTCCAACAGCAACCTAGTGTTCCCTAGCGGTCTCCCATCCAGGTACTAACCAGGCTCAGCCCTGCTTAGCTTCAGTGAGTAACCGGTCTTGGGCTGCAGGATGATATGACTGTATATATAAGCTTTCATCTTAGGCCATGTCCACACATACACGGCTATTTTTATAAACAGGATTTCCCACACTTTTGTTTTTAAAAATTCTCTGCCCACTTGAATGAGCAAAAATGCACTGTGATGCATGTTAAGGGGACACTGAATCAACAGGGGGCGATAATGACACTCCAAGCAAGCAATAAAGCATTAGCACAAGAGTAGGGAGTCAACGGATCCTTCCAGAACTGAACAAATCACAGACCAAATTATTCTTAAAAGATTGATTGGTGCCTACATGTCTGAGCCTTGATTTCATTTTCAAAGCAATCCACAGGCACCCAGCAAAAGGTTATCCAGCGCATGACTTGCCAGTCGCAGTCACAAACGCTTGCTAATTAACTCGACAACCTAAAACAATAAAAAGAGGCTACACTCACAGACCTCCAAACAGGTTTTCGAGATGGCACTTGG